TTTGCATTATTTTAAAATTTTAAAAATTAAAGATGCTAAAATCTCAATAGAATTGAAATTTTTAAAAATTAAAGATGCTAACATCTCAATAGAACTGAAACTATGAATTTGTGAGCGGATTGGTGATAATCAAATTGTTAGTCTATGCACGTGATCAAAGGATTATCATCATCTATGGTTTCAACTGTAGTAGATGTATAGTATGACTCTTTTAAAATAACGATTATACTATCTCTATATCGGTGTGTACGTACAACTTGATGCTTTATAATTAACTCTGACAAATTCTAATAATCTATTAAATACATATTTAATGTATATTTAAAAAAACAAAATAATTTGTAGAGACTATTTTATAAGATAGAGCTGGTTAAATCAATTTTTTTACTGTTGTATAACGTATTCTTTTTAATACTCCGTAAATGATAAAATTTCATCTAATTTGACGGTAAAAATGAAATTGAATAAACATACTAGAACAGGGAGATGAAATGAGTGGATGGGAGGGGGCGGTGAATAAGAAGATAAGGTATTTTTATCAACAAAAACTAACTGTAATAGGAAACAGACAATTTATTTTGGAATGTATAGAAAATGAAAACATGTAATTTAAATTAGAACGAGTACACAATACTCCGGTATAATAAAGGTCGATTTGTCACACATACTCCTCTGTCACTAAAAGTTTGTCAGAGTTTGCTTTTTTTGGTCAAATTGTAGCACAATTTGATCACGAATTAAATAAAGTTTAAAATAATTAAATATTATAAAAATTTAAACCTAATTATACTAAATTCACCTTATAACTATTTTTTTCATAATTTGTGGTCAAATGATGTCACAGTTTAACTAAAAAAGTCAAACAAATTACAACTCTTTTAAATATGGACCATGGACAAGTGATGGATAGCTATACCACTTAGCTATGCGTGGTAAATTAATTACGGTAAAAAATATTCTTATAATTTTTATATATTCGTGGATGTTAGAGTATATAAATATCTATTCCTGGGCAACAACCACAAGCTTGAGCTTTTGGTTGAGTTGGTTCCTTGACATGGTATCAGAGCCTTGATGACCAAGAGGTCACGAATTCGAAACTCACCGCCACCCAATTTAAAAAAAATTAAGGTTTCACGTGCAAGACTTAAAGAGGTCACGCGTGCACGTGAGGGGCGTGTTAGAGTATATAAATATCTATTCCTGGGCCACAACCACAAGCTCCGAGCTTGTGGTTGAGTTGGTTCCTTGACAAACTTATATTTTTTATATCCACTTTACAAACTTGATCATGAAATATTTATTTAAAATGTACTCATATTTACACTCGACATTTTTAGTTATTATCGTATTCCTTCGCGTAAATAATTAATTATATTCATTTGAGGAAATTAAAGTGAATTTGGTTCACACAATTTCTATATTTAGGCACAAAACGTAATCATAATAATTGTGATTAGTCAATTATAAAGATTTTATTTAGAAAAGGAATTATTGTAATTAAAATTTGGATTATATGAAGCATGATATATGCATGTTGTGTCATATGTATGCATGAGGCGTGTTGGTGGTTAGGCAGCCCAACATCTCCCCATCTCATCAAAAACAAAATCAAATTCAATAAATTGCTGTGTTAGATCGACCCACCTAATAAAAAAATTGCTTTGATAAAAAATTGCTTGTTATTACTCCTTTGGTTCCTCTTGAATTTTTCAATTTGAAATAGTCGGTCAATGTTTTATTAATTTTGATGATAAATTATAAAAAAAATATATGGAATTGTGATATACATTTTAATATAGTCATTTTACTTCCTGTTTTGTAAAACTTTTGATGTTATATTAAAATATATATTTTTTATTTTTAAATTTCAACACATATACTCAAATAAATTGAATTAGAAATAATTTTAATAAAACCTTGTAAATCGGACGGGGAAGATTATTTTAGAAGGAGGAAGTAATTTTGTTTTGACACAAAAGCCATAACACTCAATTGCTTATTACGAATACTCCCCCCCCCCCCCAAATGTAACCTTCACTGTTTAAAAATTACAAAATTTTTTGATAAATTATTTGGTAAAATAAAATTTTTTTGATATTTTTTATTTATAAAATTTTTTACATAATTTTTAAAAATATGTAAATTTTATTTTGAATTTTTGTATCAATCTTTAAATAAAATGAATTAAAAAATTTAAAAACGTAAAATATTAATTATCTGATGATTATCCGCGCCGTACGAATAATTAAGCTTAGTTAGAAGCTGTCATGTTCGATTTATTTTTAATTAGATAACAAACATTCTGTCAAACCACTCAACCCGGACAACGATTTGAGTTTGGGGTTTCTTAATTAACCCACCCCCCTTACTCACACAAGCAATCTCTCTAGGAAAATGAAAATTGACTTCTGAAAAATGAATTTTCAAAAAATGATTTTGGATTTTTTTTTGTTTCGTGGAGAAATTAAAACGAAAAAACTAATTTTTGTAGTTATGATATACTCCCCCCATTTTTTTAATTGTCTCATTCTTTTGCGTGTAAATTTTGACTAATTATATACTCTCTCTGTCTAGAAAAGATTTTTACAGTTTAATATTTTTGGTCAAATTGTTGTACCATTAGACTATGAATTAAATATAATTTAACATAATTAAATATTATAAAATTTTAATATTTCAAAATTATCCTCCTTCTGTTTCTTAAAACCCTTCCTTTTTCATTTTTTTGTTTTCCTTAAAACACTTCCTTTTCTATTAAAAAACCACTTTACCCCTACTTTTTCATACCTTACCTATTACATCATACGGTTTCACCCATAACGAAACTATCACATCTTACTTTTACCCATCACATCGGGGGCAAAATTGGAAAGTCAACTAAAATTACACTTTTCTTATTTTCCCCCAAAGTCAAAACAAGAACCGTTTTAAGAAACGGATGGAATATTTTAGAATAAACCCAATTTCATTAAAGTTACATTATATCTAAATATGTTTTTTCATAATTTACTGTCAAAGTGTGCAACAGTTTGACCAAAAAACTCAAACGGTGACAATCTTATATATATATATATATATATATATATATATATATATATATATATATATATATATATATATATATATATATATATATATAGGTTCTGGTGAGAATGCAATCTTAGGAGAGAAATGAGAATGAATCTGGTGCTTTAGATAGTGAGATCTAAGGGTCAAGATTTCATCAAAATTAGATGCACCAAAATGGTGTGTGTATATATATATATATATGTATATATATATATATATATATATATATATATATAAACCTCCTCCGTTCTAATAAAAGCTTCCTAGTTAGACTTGGAGCCAAAATAAGAAAGTGTTAAATTATACTACCTCCGTCCCAAAAAGATTTACACGTTTTGACTAAAGTTGAAATTAAGGGAGGGATAATTTTGTGTTGACTTTCCAAAAATACCCTTGATGTGATGGATAAAAGTAGGATGTGATGTCTAGATTATTAAGAAAAAGGTATGATGTGATAGGTAGGGTTTGAAAAAGTAAGGGGTAAAAGTGGTTTTTTAATAGAAATGGGTAGGAGATTGTGGGACGCAATTTT